TCTTAAAATAATTTTAGAACAATTTTAAAATTTTTATACTAAAAATTTATTGTAAAATAATCTTATAATTATTAAAAGGGATAATTTATACACTGCACCCTGCAATGTTGCTACATCCCTGCAGATCATAAAATTAGATGTAATGTAAAATCAAAACAACTCATTTTTTTGTTAGCTAGGGTTAGGGTAAGGTAAGATTAGTGTTAGGGTTAGTGTTAGAGTTAGAGTATAAGTTTTTTTATAGTAAAATTTTGTGAGAAATTTTTTTTGTTAAAATGCAAAGGGTAGTTTCATATACAAAGTTTTGAATTATAAATAATTTTTGACAAAACGAACGTTTTTTTGAATTTTCTAATTGTGCTACATTATACCTGATCTTAAAATTTGATTGGTCAATCATGTAAGAGGCGATAAATTAGTGACATCGCGGGTGCAGTGAATAAATATACCCTTATTAAAAAATTTATTAATATTATTAAAATAATTTTAACTCCATTAAAAAAAAATAGCTAGTTTCCGTAAAGTAAGTAAAGCTGCTATAGTTCAATTTATGGTTTTCGTATAATTAATATAAAAGTTTTATTTTTTGTGTTACTACTTTATCAGCTTATTCCACATAGTTGCAATTTATTTCAAATTATTGTAATTTAATTTATATAATATTGTGTAATTTATTACATATATATTTTGTAATATTCTGTAATTGATAATTGTAAAAGATTCCGCATCGTTATATAATTCTTTCGCAGAATTTTGGTCCATAATAACTTATGTAAGATTATATTTATATATTTTGCATGTAATAGCACTACCATTTTAGCAATTAATAGAGGCCAAAGTTAGACAATAGCTAAAAATTAAAAATAGTGGTTTAATAGCTACAATAGTAAAGTTAGTTAAAACAAAACAACTTGAGCTGCATTTGATAAAGATCAAAGATCATTTAGAAGATTTCTACAATGACTTGGCAAAATATTACAGAAACCCTAGCTCCTATAGCTTTAAATATGAGAGAGTTCAAACTAAGATATAAGTAGAAGAATGAATTTGTTAAAAAACCAATATGCTCTTTTGTCAAAATGATTGAAAAAGTGTCAAACAGAGCAGAGTAGACCTTTGTACAAGACAGCCAAAATGAAATATATTAAGAAAGAAAAACTTTACAGTATTAGCTAATTTTTTATAAAATTTTAAAAAGTAAAATAAAGCAACAGGATTCTACTTTCAAGTCAAACATGATACAGCTCTTTGAATTAAAATATATAAACAATATGCTACTAGTTTTGGAAAAACTAAATTAGAGAAAACTAAGTATATACAAAACCAACATATATGCAAAAAAGGTAGAGACTGTAGAACACTTAGTAAGCTATGAAGTTTCAATAGCCTTACTATATAAAATAGAAGAAAAGGCAGTAGAATCAACTCTGGTAAAAATAAAAAAAATGATAGATATATATATTACGAGTCAAATTGGTTTTTGGATTAAGTTAAACTTGATCTGGTCAAATTAATCAAATTTGAATTCATGTAAATTTATTAATTTAACTCGGTTAAATTAATTTGACTGAGTCAAGTTAAACAATTTGATCGAAATAAATTATTCCATATAAGCAATATTAATTACATACATGCAAATATAAAGCTAAATACTGAAATAGATAAAATAATGCTATGCTATTTATTTTGACAAACTATGTTGTTGCCACTATGACATCTACTACTACATTTTAAGTTATTTTTACTACAAGCATAGCATTTAGAAAGACAATTTTCTTTACAATAACAAACTGCCTTACTTATAGATATACTACTTTGTTTAATAGCAGCTATATGTAAAGAAAGTTGAATGGATAGAATTTTGGTTAATTCAGGATAGTTAGATGATTCTAATAGACCTATATCAGATGTACAAAAACAAGTATCTAAAACACCATTAGCACAATCAAGCTTATAATACCCGTCTTAAAGAATTTTCAATACTTTACAAGGTAAAAATTTTCAATCAGTATTAGATCGGTCAATTTTTGAAAATTGAACCTTGACATAATCTCCTATTTCAAAAGAAGTCTTTCTTTTTAAATTTGACTTAGATTCCATTACACTACGAATTATTTCTCTGTTGTGCTCTAAGTTTTTTCATACTGTGTTGTGAATTTTTTGAAAAATAGGAATAGTTTCATAATTTTCTTTATCTTCATTAGTTTTCTAAATATTAAAAACATTTTAATTTTTTATGATTATATATTTTGCTTATTAAATTACAAATACTTATCTTCTATTTCACTTTTATATATATAATCTATATCATTATTGTTATTAGTTAAATCAATAGTTTCATATGAATCTTAGTTATTATTATTAATCTAATATAATAATAAAATATATTATTAAAATAGAAATCAATACATAGTGATATATAGAATTTGTGTGTTTAAAATTTTATCTGTTGTAATACATTAATTCCAGGTAATTCAAGATTTGAATCAATAAATTCATTATCATTATCATTATTTGTCATATCGAGATTATTCTTTTCTAAATCTGGTTCAATTTCTAAAACAATATTCTCAGGAATATCTTCTTCACAAGTACAATTTTGTCGATAAAGTTCTTCAACTATAGGAAGATTGCATTGAGATTTTTGCCCAAAAACAACCTCATATGGTGTATGTTTTGTTGTATATAAATATTTTGTATTCATTGTATCTTAAAAATTATATAATAATACACATAATTAATTTTATTTTTAATAAAGTTACAGTATTTAAAATTTTACATACAAATATATAAATTAAGCCCTATACTCCAATCTGTTCGCTTAGTATCTTCTAACTATTTAGAAAGTTTTTTTGATAATGTATCATTAGCTTTTTCAATTGATCTTTGTAACTGAGGATGCCTAGGTCTTCCTCATATAATTTTTAATTTAGGCCAAATTTGTAAAAGCTTTTTAATTACTCCAGCAACAAATTCTTTCTCATTATCACTTTGTAAAATAGTTGGAGCACCAAATCAGCTAAAAATTTGAAAAAGAAAAACCGCAACATCAAATGCATATTTAGATTCTAATAGGACTGCTTATAAAAAACGAGAAAAATAATCTCGTGTATGTGCAATATATTTCCAAGATCCATTAGGACAAGAACTTAAATCAAGAAAATCAATCTAAAATAAAGTTAAATTATTATTATTTTTTTTAAATTCGGCAGTCTTGCCAATACTGTTTATTAGTATACTAAAGTATTTGGTTACAAATATCACATGTACAATTACAACACTTTAATGTTTTATGAGATATTAGCTCACCTAGTTACTAAATTAGTACCTATGTATGACCTGCTATATGAGATTTTACCTCCTTAATAACTGCCCTACAACTAGACCAGTTACTAAATCACTGGATGGTTTCCAAACCTAATTTTTATCATATATATCCTGCTTATATACTACTATACAACGTCTACCAACCAACTTCCATCTCTCATCACTTATTACATTACTCCTAATTTGGTACTTGTATTACTTCCAAATTGGTGTTCTTCGTGTAGACACTCTTCATACTTCCAGTTTGGTATCTCTAGAGGAGTTACTTTATAGGCCTAGCCATATCTCAAACAGTTAAGTTGCCAAACTAGAATGATATTTCATGTCGATCTAGGTATTCGCATTGTATACCACCAAATTAGGCTACCGATCCTTTTATAGTACTCCTTATTGGTATGGTGTTACAGAAGTCTAGATTCTTAGGACAGGAGTTATGTACCTCATTTAATCACTGTCACAAGCCAGTGACCCGGGACCCGTACTTCTGCTATATTTCGTCATAGACTTCCATATAGGTTGTACAACTATTACTCTTTAGCCTGTCTTTATTTTTGTACCACCAGATCGCTTGCTTCTATGCTTTTCGGGGTTTCTTTTAGCTGGTTTCCTTGTTTCTTTGCGCCAGAGATGTTTTATATTTGGTAAAGCCATCCTCTTATTACGGTCCTTTACTATGTTCACCACTTCTCTCACTACTTCTGGAAATACTGCATATAGCCGTCTTAGGGTTGTTGGTGCTACCTTGCCAATCATTAATTCACATGTACAGCCTTCTGTGACCCATATTACACACAGTGCCCAGTCTTCTCTATGGCTCGAGGCTCCTTCCAAGAATTCTTTATAGGCCAAATATATATATCACATGGTCTTACTGCCACAGAGTTCCACATTCGAAAGCTCCCAAAGGTTACAGAGATAATTAATTAAATTAATTACCACTAGCTATAATCGAACTGTTGACCTT